TCCCTCTACCTGGCTGGGCACTTTCTCAGCCCTCTCTCTATCCCTGTCTCACTCTCTCCCTCTCTTTCCTCCTTCTTCTTTGTCTGACCTCCTCCCTGCCCTCCCTTCTTCCACCCCCCCCCCCTCCTGGCTAAGTCACTCCAACATCTTTGTTCGTCTTACCCTTCTTCTCCCTCCATCATGCCCCCCCCCCACACCTTCCCCCTCCACTCCCTCCCCCTCTCTCTTGTTCCGGTTCCCTCTTCCTCCCCCCTCCCACCCATCCCACCTTTTCCTCGCTGTTTCTGGCACACTTCCAGATCCTGCCTTCACCGGCCTTCTAGCCCTAGGCTCCTTCCTTCCTTCTTTTCTTTCTTTTTTCCTTCCCTCGACCCAGCTCTCGTCTCTGAAACTGCACTTTAGCATTTCTTTCATACCTTAACTTCCCCCTTCCAGAAAAAAAAATACATCTCAAAGGGATAGAGTAACTTGGCTATTTCTACCCCCCCCCCTCTATTTCAAGTCCCTCAAGGGGGCGCACAAATTCAATGAGTACAAATACTCAAATCACAATACAAAAATCCCATTTAACATTGCAGTCCTCCTCCTCCTCCCCTTCACCCTCCAGAGGTCAGCTTCCGACACACCTGTATCCTACGACAGAGGATAGTTTTCATAAAACTAAAAAATTTATTCCAAATAACTCTTTAAATTTTTTTTTATTACGTGTGATATTAGTGTAACTGTTCCATAATTTGTTGCCAGAGCGATGCACCTGTGTCACACACGTGTGTCATGTAACATACCTGTGTCACACACGTGTGTCATGTAACATACCTGTGTCACACACGTGTGTCATGTAACATACCTGTGTCACACACGTGTGCTGTGTAACATACCTGTGTCACAGGTGTCATGTAACATACCTGTGTCACAGGTGTCGTGTAATATACCTGTGTCACAGGTGTCATGTAACATACCTGTGTCACAGGTGTCATGTAACATACCTGTGTCACAGGTGTCGTGTAATATACCTGTGTCACAGGTGTCGTGTAATATACCTGTGTCACAGGTGTCGTGTAACATACCTGTGTCACAGGTGTCGTGTAACATACCTGTGTTACACACGTGTGTCATGTAACATACCTGTGTCACACACGTGTCATATAGCATACCTGTGTCACACACGTGTGTCATGTAACATACCTGTGTCACACGTGTGTCATGTAACATACCTGTGTCACACACGTGTCATATAACATACCTGTGTCACACACGTGTGTCATATAACATATCTGTGTCACACACACGTGTCATATAACATATCTGTGTCACACACACGTGTCATATAACATACCTGTGTCACACACGTGTCGTGTAACATACCTGTGTCACGTGTGTCGTGTGACATACCTGTGTCACGGACCTGATCATCAGGTCATATTAATTAACTAGTCCCATACTCATCACATCATTTGTTCCTTTTGCAGGTAAGTGTTGAGGAGTGAGGAACTGTGGAGGAGCGGGGAGGTGAGTCTCATTAACCTCCTCTCATCTTCCTCATCGTGTACTCTGAATAAAAGTAATGAGATGCGATGATCGTTTTGTGGTGGCGATACAAGATGTGCTCATCGTCATCAGCATCATCACCCATCATCTGGGAGCTGATACCATCATGTTAATTAAGATGTTGCTCTTGGCTGTCCTGGCTGTGGTTAAGATTAGTAGTGTTGCTTGAAGGATTCGTCAGGGGGTCGATGGCTTATCTCTGATGCTCGCTGAGATTGTGGTCTTTGTTTAGGTCTTTATTCCTCAGCTGCTTCTTATCTAACATAGTCTGCGAGCGAGAGAGCTTCCTGAACGTCTTTTTCACAACGTGTTGGTCGTGTAAGGCAGCAGTGACTTCTGTTCCTTGCTTTTTTTGTCACGTTGCTTTTACAATTATCAATGGAGGTAGATTTTTATTTGTTTTGTTATTGTTTATACATTTGTTTACTGCCCTTAACACTAAGTGTTCCATCTGGAAGCTGTTGCTCAGCTGTGTGTCCGCTCATTACGGGCTAGCTAACCATGCCCTCTATTGTATTAATACCTATGAGTATTGTATGTATATGTCACCTATATTTACCTGTGTGTCCTCCGGTGTCATTAGGTTCAGCTTCTTCGGTGGTATCTGGGTTGCTCAATACTCTCATTTCTGGGATCAGTTTTGTAACCAGCTTCTGTATTTTCTCAATTTTTGCTTTATGCTTTTCAGTGCTGGGGTTCCAGGCTGGTACAGTATGTTCTAACACTGGTGGAACATACCGCTCAGTATAGACCCACTACCCAGAGGTGGGTACTCCAGCCCGGGGCATACACTCTAGTGCCCAATATCAACACGCGAAGTGATTAGAATACTCTTGAGTGAGAGGGTGAGAGAAGACATGGAGGCGGCGTGGGGTGAGTGTGGGTGAGTGTGGGTGAGTGTGGGTGAGTGTGGGTGAGTGTGGGTGAGGTAAGACAACATAAGATGCGTATCAGCCTCCCCCCTGAGCGAGAATTACTCTTGGTGGCCCCGGACACCTTTGACGCCAGCCGCCACACCCCCTACACCGGGCTCTAGCTCCTGTCACCCACACCTTCCCTCGATGCTTGTCGGTGGTCGTCGTTGTGGTCGTAGATTCAGCTACTCGGAACCAAAAAAAGTAGCACGGGCTATGGTGAGCCCGTAGTCGACTCACACGCACATTTAGGAACTCTCGTGTTAATTGTGGTGTTTGTCCCTTAAATGCGGAAAATTACATGTTGCAGATAAAATATCTTAAAATCCTTGCACTGTACCCATATCTCACGTCTAGTTGATATATGCCACATTTGGTAGTGATGAATCAGCTGTGTAGCGTGGAGACTGACTGTTACAAATATACAGGAACACTTCTATTCTGTAACACCCTTCTATGTTACCTGTCTTTCACCCTGTAACACCCTTCTATGTTACCTGTCTTTCACCCTGTAACACCCTTCTATGTTACCTGTCTTTCACCCTGTAACACCCTTCTATGTTACCTGTCTTTCACCCTGTAACATCCTTCTATGTTAACCTGTCTTTCACCCTGTAACACCCTTCTATGTTGCCTGTCTTTCACCCTGTAACACCCTTCTATGTTACCTGTCTTTCACCCTGTAACACCCTTCTATGTTACCTGTCTTTCACCCTGTAACATCCTTCTATGTTACCTGTCTTTCACCCTGTAACACCCTTCTATGTTACCTGTCTTTCACCCTGTAACACCCTTCTATGTTACCTGTCTTTCACCCTGTAACATCCTCGTATCTAAAATATTTTATGTTTTAGCAAAAGACGTAACTTTAGTGTATAATAATTTATTGTAAATGATTGTATATTTGTTTAACAAGTTGACTATACGGTGTGTAGGTTAGATGTCACAATGTAAACATCTCTAATGAGGTCTGATTAAGTCCTCTGTAATCCTTTTTGTGCTCGCGCTCACAGGATGGGTATGGGGTGCATAATAAACTACCAGCCTCCGGCGGCAACAGTGTTTAGTATTATCTATCTAGTACTATAATGAGCATCTCAAGATAGGTCAACTGGGCTGCGGTTCATACGTTAGACTGCGAACAGCGGCGTCTAACAGCCTGGTTGACCAACTACCGACCAGGAGGCCGGGTGAGAGATCGGGCCCGGGAACATGAATCCCCAGATACAAGTATCTCTGGCAGTTCAGCTTGTATAGGGATCTAGATGAAGTAAAGTGTAAAGTGTGTTTACACTTTACACTAGCTGACATTGTAACTATAAGGTGTGAAGGATACATGAAATTGTTTATGTAATAATCTAAGATGAGGTCTGATAAAGACCTTTTGTGCCCTCTGTAATGCTTTTGCGCTACCGCTCACAGGATGAGTATGGGGTGCACAATAAACTAGCCGCCTTCGGCGGCAACAATCATCAAATCAACCAGAAACACAAAAAAACTACGGGCTCGCCATAGTCCGTGCTACCTGGAACTTTTTGTTGTGGGTAGCGAATTTTAAAAAACACAACACCAACCCAGGAACGTCTCAAGATAGCCTCAAGGTAACGAGAGTTAGTATATTGCCATTTAACCCTTGCTACTCACCTTCACGAAATCCCTTATCCTAACCAGCTCTTCGAACTGGCAAAATGGTCTAAGACCGATGCTCGAACTCCAGGGGGCCAGATTCACGAAGCAGTTACGCGAGTACTTACGAACCTGTACATTTTTCCTCAATCTTTGACGGCTTTGGTTACGTTTATTAAACAGTTTACAAGCATGAAAACTTCCCAATCAACTTTCGTTATTTATATAAACAGCCTCCTGGTGCTTCGGAGTTCATTAACTGTTTATTAATTGTAAACAAAGCCGCCAAAGATTGAGAAAAGATGTACAGGTTCGTAAATGCTTCGTGAATCTGACCCCAGCTTCATTATCGATAAACAAGGTCTTGGGTCAGTTAAGCTGGACACTGTAGGAATTATTCCATCTACAAGATAGACGAATTAAAGGCACCTGTAGGACTGTGGAGTCGCTGGAGGGGGGTACATAATCCGACGGGTTAGTGAGATATATTAATTATAGTGTTGGGGACGAGGGGCATCGACCCCCGACGGTGACCAAGACTGCGGCCTTAGTCGAGAGTACGTGAACACTGCGCTGTTTACCTTGGTCAAGGAGCCCTTTGTACGGACGTGCGAACTCCACAACAAGAGGGGCACGGAGTGAGGGGAGAGGCACGGAGTGAGGGGAGAGGCATGGAGTGAGGGGAGGGGCACGGAGTGAGGGGAGAGGCATGGAGTGAGGGCATGGAGTGAGGGGGAGAGGCACGGAGTGAGAGGAGAGGCACGGAGTGTGGGAGACGGAGGAAGGAGAGAGGATAATAAAGGAGGCCCAGGAGAGAGGTGGGTGACCTCACTGAACCGGCTTTGCTTCCTAAAATCACATTGCAAGAGCTCCTGCAGACTGTTATCGTATTCATAACATTAATGCCATGTGATGGCCTCCGTGGTGGGCCGGCCGCTGTGGCCACCACCGGCCGCTGTGGCCACCACCGGCCACTGTGGCCACCACCGGCCGCTGTGGCCACCACCGGCTGCTGTGGCCATCACCGGCCACTGTGGCCACCACCGGCCACTGTGGCCATCACCGGCCGCTGTGGCCACCACCGGCCGCTGTGGCCACCACCGGCCGCTGTGGCCACCACCGGCCGCTGTGACCACCACCGGCCGCTGTGGCCACCACCGGCCGCTGTGGCCATCACCGGCCACTGTGGCCACCACCGGCCGCTGTGGTCACCACCGGCCGCTGTGGCCACCACCGGCCGCTGTGGCCATCACCGGCCGCTGTGGCCACCACCGGCCGCTGTGGCCACCACCGGCCGCTGTGGCCACCACCGGCCGCTGTGGCCATCACCGGCCGCTGTGGCCATCACCGGCCGCTGTGGCCACCACCGGCCACTGTGGCCACCACCGGCCGCTGTGGTCACCACCGGCCGCTGTGGCCACCACCGGCCGCTGTGGCCATCACCGGCCGCTGTGGCCACCACCGGCCGCTGTGGCCATCACCGGCCGCTGTGGCCACCACCGGCCGCTGTAGCCATCACCGGCCGCTGTGGCCACCACCGGCCACTGTGGCCACCACCGGCCGCCTCACACTCCTCATCCTCCTGTCATTGTCATTATATTTCACCCGAATTCTAGCAAAACGGGGAAAAAATCCTCACATTCCACAAATTAAAAAAAACTTGGGTATATAAAAGTGAATGTTGAGAGGGCATTGTGTGCGTGTGCCCGGGCCTCGCCACCCTCCCGTGTGCCCCGGACCTCGCCACCCTCCCGTGTGCCCCGGACCTCGCCACCCTCCCGTGTTGCCCCGGACCTCGCCACCCTCCCGTGTGCCCCGGACCTCGCCACCCTCCCGTGTGCCCCGGGCCTCGCCACCCTCCCGTGTGCCCCGGACCTCGCCACCCTCCCGTGTGCCCCGGACCTCGCCACCCTCCCGTGTGCCCCGGACCTCGCCACCCTCCCGGGTGCCCCGGGCCTCGCCACCCTCCCGTGTGCCCCGGACCTCGCCACCCTCCCGTGTGCCCCGGACCTCGCCACCCTCCCGTGTGCCCCGGACCTAGCCACCCTCCCGTGTGCCCCGGGCCTCGCCACCCTCCCGTGTGCCCCGGACCTCGCCACCCTCCCGTGTGCCCCGGACCTCGCCACCCTCCCGTGTGCCCCGGACCTCGCCACCCTCCCGTGTGCCCCGGACCTCGCCACCCTCCCGTGTTGCCCCGGACCTCGCCACCCTCCCGTGTGCCCCGGACCTCGCCACCCTCCCGTGTGCCCCGGACCTCGCCACCCTCCCGTGTGCCCCGGACCTCGCCAACCTCCCGTGTTGCCCCGGACCTCGCCACCCTCCCGGGTGCCCCGGACCTCGCCATCCTCCCGTGTGCCCCGGGCCTCGCCACCCTCCCGTGTGCCCCGGGCCTCGCTACCCTCCCGTGTGCCCCGGGCCTCGCCACCCTCCCGTGTGCCCCGGACCTCGCCACCCTCCCGTGTGCCCCGGGCCTCGCCACCCTCCCGTGTGCCCCGGGCCTCGCCACCCTCCCGTGTGCCCCGGGCCTCGCCACCCTCCCGTGTGCCCCGGGCCTCGCCACCCTCCCGTGTTGCCCCAGGCCTCGCCACCCTCCCGTGTGCCCCGGGCGTCGCCACCCTCCCGTGTGCCCCGGGCCTCGCCACCCTCCCGTGTGCCCCGGACCTCGCCACCCTCCAGTGTGCCCCGGGCCTCGCCACCCTCCCGTGTGCCCCGGGCCTCGCCACCCTCCCGTGTTGCCCGGGCCTCGCCACACTCCCGTGTTGACCCGGTCCTCGCCACCCTCCCGTGTTGACCCGGTCCTCGCCACCCTCCCGTGTTGACCCGGGCCTCGCCACCCTCCCGTGTTGCCCCAGGCCTCGCCACCCTCCCGTGTTGCCCGGGCCTCGCCACCCTCCCGTGTTGCCTCGGCCTCGCCACCCTCCCGTGTTGCCTCGGCCTCGCCACCCTCCCGTGTTGCCCCGGGCCTCGCCACCCTCCCGTGTTGCCTCGGCCTCGCCACCCTCCCGTGTGCCCCGGGCCTCGCCACCCTCCCGTGTTGCCCGGGCCTCGCCACCCCCCCGTGTGCCCCGGGCCTCGCCACCCTCCCGTGTTGCCCGGGCCTCGCCACACTCCCGTGTTGACCCGGTCCTCGCCACCCTCCCGTGTTGACCCGTTCCTCGCCACCCTCCCGTGTTGACCCGGGCCTCGCCACCCTCCCGTGTTGCCCCAGGCCTCGCTACCCTCCCGTGTTGCCCGGGCCTCGCCACCCTCCCGTGTTGCCTCGGCCTCGCCACCCTCCCGTGTTGCCTCGGCCTCGCCACCCTCCCGTGTTGCCCGGGCCTCGCCACCCTCCCGTGTTGCCCCGGGCCTCGCTACCCTCCCGTGTTGCCTCGGCCTCGCCTCCCTCCCGTGTTGCCCGGGCCTCGCCACCCTCCCGTGTTGCCTCGGCCTCGCCACCCTCCCGTGTTGCCTCGGCCTCGCCACCCTCCCGTGTTGCCCCGGGCCTCGCCACCCTCCCGTGTTGCCCCGGGCCTCGCCACCCTCCCGTGTTGCCTCGGCCTCGCCACCCTCCCGTGTTGCCCCGGGCCTCGCCACCCTCCCGTGTTGCCTCGGCCTCGCCACCCTCCCGTGTTGCCCCGGGCCTCGCTACCCTCCCGTGTTGCCTCGGCCTCGCCACCCTCCTGTGTTGCCCGGGCCTCGCCACCCTCCCGTGTTGCCTCGGCCTCGCCACCCTCCCGTGTTGCCTTGGCCTCGCCACCCTCCCGTGTTGCCCCGGGCCTCGCCACCCTCCCGTGTTGCCCAGGCCCTCGCCACCCTCCCGTGCTGCCCGGGCCTCGCCACCCTCCCGTGTTGCCTCGGCCTCGCCACCCTCCCGTGTTGCCTCGGCCTCGCCACCCTCCCGTGTTGCCCCGGGCCTCGCCACCCTCCCGTGTTGCCTCGGCCTCGCCACCCTCCCGTGTTGCCCCGGGCCTCGCCACCCTCCCGTGTAGCATCTCCATAACCCTGGACAACAGGGTTTCAGAACAAGGCGCTCTTCTTGCCTGTCACAGAGTCTACTTACCCTCATGGGCGACGGTCTCGCTTCATGCAGGTCGGCGTTCAATCCCCGACCGTCCAAGTGGTTGGGCACCATTCCTCCCCCCCCCCCGTTCCCCCCAAAATCCTTATCCTGACCCCTTCCCAGTGCTATATAGTCGTAATGATTATTAGTTCCCCAGATAGTTCCCTTTCCTTGCCTGTCACAGTTGCTGGACCACTATGACATGGCATTAGATGCCATGGAAGACAAACAAAACGCTGATGTAATTTACACAGATTTCACAAAAGCCTTCGACACATGTGACCATGGTGTTATTGCATATAAAATGCGTTCAAAAGGAATTACCGGAAAAATAGGCAGATGGATCTACAATTTGCTGACTAATAGAACCCAATGTGTAATAGTCAACAAAATAAAATCCAGCCCATCAACCGTGAAGAGCTCAGTCCCCCAGGGTACTGTGCTTGCTCCAGTACTTTTTCTCATCCTCATATCGGACCTAGACAAGAACACAACCTATAGTACTGTATCATCCTTTGCAGATGGCTCTAGGATTTTTATGAAAGTAGACAACATAGAGGACACAGCAAACCTCCAATCAGATGTAAATCAGGTCTTTCTATGAGCTACAGAAAATAATATGGTGTTTAACGAAGATAAATTCCAGCTCATGCTCTACGGAAAAACAATAAAATATAAAAACGGAAACCACGTACAAGCTAAGTCAAATCATAACATAGAACGAAAAGGCAATGTAAAGGATCTGGGTGTACTCATGTCGCAAGACCTTAAATTTAAAGAACACAATAAAGTAGCCGTCACAACTGCAAGAAAAATGACAGGTTGGATAACAAGATCGACACACTAGACACACTTTCACACTAGAGATGCTATACCATTGATAGTACTCTTCAAGACGCTAGTGCTCTCTAGAGTGGAATACTGCTGCACAATGATAGCCCCTTTCTAAGTTGGAGAAATTGCTGACCTGGAGAGCGTGCAGAGATCTTTTACTGCTAGAATCCACTCAGTAAAACTTCTAAATTATTGGGACCGACTAAAATGCCTAAATCTGTATTCTCTTGAGAGCAGGCGGGAGAGATACATAATAATTTACACTTGGAAAATAGTAGAGGGGCTGGTCCCAAACCTGCACACAGAAATAACATCACATGAGACCAGGAGGCATGGCAGGATGTGCAGAATACCCCCGTCGAAGAGCAGAGGTGCAACAGGTACTCTGAGAGAGAACTCTATCAACATCAGAGGCCCGAGACTGTCCAACACGCTTCCACTACACATCAGGGGCATAACTGGCCGACCCCTCACAGTGCTCTAGAGGGAACTGGATAAACCCCCTCCAAAGAATACCTGATCAACCAGGCTGTGACTCATACGTCAGGCTGCGAGCAGCCGCATCCAACAACCTGGTTGACAAGTCCAGCAACGAGGAGGCCTGGTCGACGACCGGGCCGCGGGGTCAGTAAGCCTCGAAATCATCAAAGGGCAATAGAAAGGTAAGGTAAGGTGCCCCGGTCAATGGTAAAGATGTGCACATAATGCCACATGATAGTAGATTACCAGCTGAGCTCTCAGTGCCAACTCTGTTCAGCGTACACAGTAAATGTGCCTACATGACAAATAATGCATGGAAAATTGGTCCTAGAGACTGGTTCTGGGTGACTGGAGACTGTATGGTTCTGTATAAAGGATAATATTACTTTCTTGAAAATGATCGCAGTTCTGGAAAAAAAACCTGTGGAGAACAGAGAATCACTTCTAAATGGCTGCATAGAAATTTCAAATGTTTTAAAAAATTTGTCGATGACACTCAGGTAGAATCAGACTCTGCGCCGGAGCTGAGGGCGCTGTCGGCGCCGAGGTCGGGCGCGGTCTTGGCGTGGGGGTCGGGCGCGGTCTCTGAGCCAGGTTTGGGCAAAGAGAAACAAACAAAACAAGGACCCAAAACCTCTGGATATTATAAATAAAGTGTAAACATGGGATATCGGGAAGAACAAATGGAATATGTAAATAGGATCACTCCAGAAAGTCCAGAAACCTTCTTAGTAAAGGTAAATGTACCAAAAACTGTGAATTTGTCCACAAAGAAGTTTGCAAGAACTCTTTAAATAAGAGTGAATGTTTCAACACAGAATGTCCAGCTTTTCATATAAGAGGTACCAGGCGAATAAAACCGACAGACTGCCACGATGAACAGCCACAACTCTATTTACCAGGATTTTTTTTTTTAGCAAAAGGAAGAGGAGACGAATGGCTAAAAATGTCCAGACTCTACCACCAACTCGGTCACATGCTAGAGAGGACACAAGCACAGTGGCCTCCCTACCACAGCTTCAAATATTAATTAACACCGAGTAAAGCATCCAGTACTTCCACAAACACGATAACATCATTTTTATTTGCTAACATCCAGGGTGTAAAAACACGCAAGTCTAACAAAGTCTATTTTATAGCTGGCCTCCTACATGAGGCACTTGCAGTGTTTGCAGCCATAACGGAAACCCACACAAAGGATTACTATGATGGTGAAATGTAGATTTCGGAGTACAATCATTTGAGATGTGACAGGAAACACAAGCTCCCGGTAATTTGGTCCATAAATAAACCACACTCCCTCTAAACCAGTTTTTACCCCCAGGTCTTTCCTAAATCTATACCTCTCCAGTTTCATTGTTGTGGCATGGCTTGTTTGAGTGGTTCTTGCTATTCATTCCTATCATTATGATAGCAATTGTGACAAGTTTATTGTGTTCTTTAATAGTTAGGTCATCTGGTATGATGACTCTCTCTCTTGACTCACATATATGTACACGTGCCTCTTGTGTACTTGTACACGGAGCAGGGCAAGGAAGGCCCAGGAGAGTGTTCTCACTGACCATTGGAGCGTTCAGTGGTTCACCAACACATTTGTTTTATATTTGGAGATTTGCTGTGTCGTCTGCAGATGCCATCTTTATAAAAAACATTGTGTCGGCCAGGTGGGGGAGGCATGTAGGTGAGGCAGGTGTGGGGGGGGGGGAGGTATGTGAGGAAAGGGAGGGTTTGGGATTTGCCTAAGCCCATGAAAAATGCTTTAAGCTTCTTATCCCTTTTTCTTCCCCCTTTTTTATATGAAATTTATGTCTGCTTCAGTGAATGCGGCAGATGGCGATATTGGTGGTAATAATAATTAAAAAACGAAGAGCCGTCACACCAGCGGAGCCCCCACGACCACACTATAGTGGTCCAGTACCTGCGGGAGGCCCTGGGCCAGCCTGGCCACCACGACCACACTATAGTGGTCCAGTACCTGCGGGAGGCCCTGGGCCAGCCTGGCCACCACGACCACACTATAGTGGTCCAGTACCTGCGGGAGGCCCTGGGCCAGTCTGGCCACCACGACCACACCATAGTGGTCCAGTACCTGCGGAAGGCCCTGCGCCGGGCCCCAGCCTGGCCACCACGACCACACTATAGTGGTCCAGTACCTGCGGGAGGCCCTGCGCCGGGCCCCAGCCTGGCCACCACGACGTGCCGCGTCTGTAACCTTACTGCTTAGTACTCTTAGAGGATCTTAATGATGCGTGATGATAACGTAGTCGGTGTGTAGCTGTTTTTTTTGTCCCCGGTTGATATACTGGGACCGTCGTAAAGCTGGGCTGTTTGTTCCCTGGGGTTATGGAGCGTCTGGGATGTTGCTGGTATCTAGAGTGTCTCTTCTTAGATAGTTAGGGCTTATGTGGTTCTTTTTGTGATGACTGCAGCGTCAGTGGTGGTGGTGGTGGTCAACGGCAGTGTGCTGCTTGTGGTGTCCTAGCTAGAGCAGCAACAGCTAGAGCAGCAACAACTAGAGCAGCAACAGCTAGAGCAGCAACAGCTAGAGCAGCAACAGCTAGAGCAGCAACAACTAGAGCAGCAACAACTAGAGCAGCAACAACTAGAGCAGCAACAACTAGAGCAGCAACAGCTAGAGCAGCAACAGCTAGAGCAGCAACAACTAGAGCAGCAACAGCTAGAGCAGCAACAACTAGAGCAGCAACAGCTAGAGCAGCAACAGCTAGAGCAGCAACAGCAACAGCTAGAGCAGCAACAACTAGAGCAGCAACAGCTAGAGCAGCAACAACTAGAGCAGCAACAGCTAGAGCAGCAACAGCAACAGCAGCAACAGCAACAGCAGCAACAGCTAGAGCAGCAACAGCTAGAGCAGCAACAGCAACAGCAGCAACAGCTAGAGCAGCAACAGCAACAGCTAGAGCAGCAACAACTAGAGCAGCAACAACTAGAGCAGCAACAGCAACAGCAGCAACAGCTAGAGCAGCAACAACTAGAGCAGCAACAACTAGAGCAGCAACAGCAGCAACAGCTAGAGCAGCAACAGCAACAGCAGCAACAGCTAGAGCAGCAACAGCTAGAGCAGCAACAGCTAGAGCAGCAACAGCTAGAGCAGCAACAACTAGAGCAGCAACAACTAGAGCAGCAACAGCTAGAGCAGCAACAGCTAGAGCAGCAACAGCAACAGCAGCAACAGCTAGAGCAGCAACAGCTAGAGCAGCAACAGCTAGAGCAGCAACAACTAGAGCAGCAACAGCAACAGCAGCAACAGCTAGAGCAGCAACAGCTAGAGCAGCAACAGCTAGAGCAGCAACAACTAGAGCAGCAACAGCTAGAGCAGCAACAGCTAGAGCAGCAACAGCTAGAGCAGCAACAGCTAGAGCAGCAACAGCTAGAGCAGCAACAGCTAGAGCAGCAACAGCAACAGCAGCAACAGCTAGAGCAGCAACAGCTAGAGCAGCAACAGCAACAGCAGCAACAGCTAGAGCAGCAACAGCAACAGCAGCAACAGCTAGAGCAGCAACAGCTAGAGCAGCAACAGCAACAGCAGCAACAGCTAGAGCAGCAACAACTAGAGCAGCAACAGCAACAGCAGCAACAGCTAGAGCAGCAACAGCAACAGCAGCAACAGCTAGAGCAGCAACAGCTAGAGCAGCAACAGCTAGAGCAGCAACAGCTAGAGCAGCAACAGCTAGAGCAGCAACAGCAACAGCAGCAACAGCTAGAGCAGCAACAGCTAGAGCAGCAACAGCTAGAGCAGCAACAACTAGAGCAGCAACAGCAACAGCAGCAACAGCTAGAGCAGCAACAGCTAGAGCAGCAACAGCAACAGCAGCAACAACTAGAGCAGCAACAGCTAGAGCAGCAACAGCTAGAGCAGCAACAGCTAGAGCAGCAACAACTAGAGCAGCAACAGCAACAGCAGCAACAGCTAGAGCAGCAACAGCTAGAGCAGCAACAACTAGAGCAGCAACAGCTAGAGCAGCAACAGCTAGAGCAGCAACAGCAACAGCAGCAACAGCTAGAGCAGCAACAGCTAGAGCAGCAACAGCAACAGCAGCAGCAGCTAGAGGAGCAGCACCTTCAGCTCCGCCGCTACACTGCTATAAGCGGCTTACACTGTAGTGACAATCAGTGGTCAGTTCCCAACCTCCACAACCCCCATGATATTTTTTCCTCTCCGGGTTTTGGGGATGAAAGCTGAGTTGGTTGCCAGTACATTAGTGGGCGAAGGGTGGTGTAAGAGGACCAGGTGGTGTAGGTGGACCAGGTGGTGTAGGTGGACCAGGTGGTGTAGGTGGACCAGGTGGTGTAGGTGGACCAGGTGGTGTAGGTGGGCCAGGTGGTGTAGGTGGACCAGGTGGTGTATATATACGGCACGCATAGACGCAATATACGGCACGCATAGACGCAATATACGGCACGCATAGACGCAATAAAGCACCTAAATTATTGGGATCGTCTCAAAGCCCTCCAAATGTACTCACTAGAAAGAAGACGAGAGAGATATCAAATAATATACACCTGGAAGATACTGGAGGGCCAAGTACCAAATCTACGCAGTAAAATAACAACATACTGGAGTAAACGATATGGAAGAAAATGTAGAATAGAACCAGTGAAGAGCAGAGGTGCCATAGGCACAATCAGAGAACACTGTATAAACACCAGAGGTCCGCGGTTGTTCAACGTCCTCCCAGCAAGCATAAGAAATATTGCCGGAACAACCGTGGACATTTTCAAGAGGAAACTAGATTTATTCCTCCAAGGAGTGCCGGACCAACCGGGCTGTGGTGGGTATGTGGGCCTGCGGGCCGCTCCAAGCAACAGCCTGGTGGACCAAACTCTCACAAGTCGAGCCTGGCCTCGGGCCGGGCTTGTGGAGTAGAAGAACTCCCAGAACCCCATCAACCAGGTGTAGGTGGGCCAGGTGGTGTAGGTGGACCAGGTGGTGTAGGCGGGCCAGGTGGTGTAGGTGGACCAGGTGGTGTAGGCGGGCCAGGTGGTGTAGGCGGACCAGGTGGTGTAGGCGGGCCAGGTGGTGTAGGTGGACCAGGTGGTGTAGGCGGGCCAGATGGTGTAGGTGGACCAGGTGGTGTAGGCGGACCAGGTGGTGTAGGCGGGCCAGGTGGTGTAGGTGGACCAGGTGGTGTAGGCGGGCCAGGTGGTGTAGGCGGACCAGGTGGTGTAGGTGGACCAGGTGGTGTAAGAGGACCAGGTGAGAGTATGGGGGAACATTGGAGCCATAGACACACGCTGCTAGGGAAGACAAACGAAGCAGTGCAAGCAGTAAAAGGTTCGCCCCAGTATCCGGCCCACAGGGGCTTGATATCCGGCCCATGGAGCACGGGGAGGGGGCGACGCTGCACGGCCAAATTGTCAAAGCCGCGGACTTAACAGTTAAAGTTGGGGGGGGGGGGAGAGCTTCTGTAGGCATGACGTGCCCCGTCGACTCTTGCTGTGCCCCGTCGACTCTTGCTGTGCCCCTCCCCGGTGGGCAGTGGTGCCCACGGCGCGGCCCGGAAGGTTACCCGGGTACATGAGCGTACTGTACCCGGGTACAGTCTTGCCCTAACTATATCCTGACCAATCAACACCAAGCTACAGGTCAGATAGATACACATTAGTTGTTGATAATTTAGGTGGTTAAACATTA